AGTGGAGACCTCGCATAAAAAGCATTGTGCGCAGATTTGCGGGCTTTGAAGAAAGCTGGGGGTCTTTGAGAAGGATTACAGGTAGAACAGGCATTGGCTGCCCAAGATAACTGCCATGACTTCATCCTCATTGTGTAGATTAAGCCATAAAACCCAAACTAATGAGTCCCGAAAGGGGAGGAGGACACGGTGGGTCGGGGAGTTGGGGGGAGGTGGGGGGGCATTGTTCATGATGCGGGACTATCAGTATTTTCAGATCAACGTTATTGCTGCAGTGGATGACTCAATACAAACCGTTTGGGACTGTCTGTCCAAAGGGTACCTTAGAGTCAACGTCAGACAACACAAATGTAGCCCGATTTTTGAGCCGACAGATGTGTTGCATACAAACGTAGTGTCTCATAGCCGATTTTGTTGTCTTGATGCGTCACAGCTCATGTAGCGTGACCGACTCAATGATTGGTCATGAAGTGTCTGAGATCCTTCACGATCAAGACCATGAAAGTCTGGAATCCCATCTTGCCGCAAAGTGCAACATGTCCTTCATCGTCCCCGATCGGTTCTTTGGCATTGACCAATAGGAAGACAGTGCCCTTCCTACTCATGATGAGAGACTGAATGTGGCGCACACAATCACAGTGTGGTGTACATTATTGAAAAAGTGACTTGAACAAAAGGGAAGATAGTGGAAAGTATATGAAGCATTTCAACTTGTGCTATATTTGCAAATTGCAAAACTTGAAAGAGATTTTTTTTTTTTTTTTGCCTTTTCTGAAAGAATAAGCAATGCACATGCAGATAAGTCCTCTTTGACATGACTACAGCTGCTCCCGACAGACCTGCACCAATAAACTGAATCGTGAAGGAAGCATGCAGTGATTAGATCTGGTCCGTCGGTGATGGACTTGTTGTGTGACATCTCACCTATTCCAAGACACAGATCGATATTTATCTGGTAGTCTGACAGCACGATCGTCGTGAACAAAAAAATGTGTAGTTAGAAAAAGCCATGACACAACAACCTTGCATTTGACTACCTTCTCTTTATTAATTGTGGGCAACATTAACAGTCAATGAACCCATTATTTTCAAAATAATTTTAATTAGAGAACATTAAAATAAATGTTCTGAGCTCCTATTTCCATGTAGCTGACATCATGTTGTACTTCTTTCGCCTGCAAACAAGTTGAGAAAGAGCATAAGTGGCGTCTCTGCTCGTTGCTGTTCAGTAGTACACTTAATTTTGCCGCACTTGCCTCAATATGATCAACAATGTACACATTCAACCCAATTGTAACAATAATTGCATTACAGAGATTATTGGAGGCTCTTGCAATGGGGTTTCTGCACAAAGTTAGAACACACACAGACTCACTTAACGTATGGTAATGGAGTAGTGAAGTCACAGGCTGTACAGTCGGACTGCCGAGACTAGTCAACTATTGACATTTACGTCACCAATAAATATGAATTAATTAATGTCCTAATTTTTTTTTAAATTACCTTTTTTTTTTTTTTAACTTGTCTAAACTGCCATGTCTCCCACTGGATGTTTGCCCATCTTTGATGCACATCCGCAATCGCAATAGTTCAGATCATCTGTAATGTCAACAGATGCACTATGGCTCATACTATGATGTCTGACCAGTAATAGTGACAGAGCCCCAAAGTGAGGGCACATTTCACGAAAATAAGAATGTGATGCAAACCTGCCTTTCTGGCCACATAGTGGTACTAGCATCTACAAAGGAACTAACTAAGGTGTTGCTGATGGCTGGTTCCATTTCTGACCTTGGGACAGTCATGCAGGGAAGCCACTTCTCGAGTTAGTTGCGAACATTTTTCTTAGCCTTATCACACACAGGTTGTGGTATGCGTTTGATGTAACGTTATAACAGCAGTTTAATAACGTATATTGAATGGCACAGTGGTAAGGTGGTCATCACCCAACCCAAAGGTTGTGGGTTCGATCCTGACCATGTCGAAGTGTCCACGAGCAAGATAGTAAACCCCCACGATCATCAGTAGGTAAACGAGGAATCAGCGGTAAAGCACTTTGAGTACCTAAGGGAGAAAAGCGCTAAACAAGTGAAAGCCCATTTTCAGGTGCGTACCTCATTTTGATTTTTCAGATCGAAATAATATTTTAAAATTACACTTCGTAGTGAAGCAAAGAAAATAATTTTGGATAAAGATGAAGTGAAAACAAGTTTTTATTGTAGTTTTCTTCAGCACTGTGCCTTCTATTTCTAATTTTGCTCCGCTGTTTGTATGTCTAAGATGAGTGAAAGCTGTTAACAAGTATTTTTTTTGTATTTATAACTTTTCAGTGTATAGTTTTTGGTTACATTCCTGTATGGTTTGTGCTCAAGACCTGAGGCAGTGTGGAGATGGTGTCCTGCTGAGTATTCTTCTCTCTTTTTATTTATTTTACACAGTCCAAAGTGCCAGACAGGTTGACATGAAACTGGAGAAGTATTGCTGGCTTATTTCAGACCGTTTGTTTTGTTTTATTTTGTTTTTCCCCAACCACCCATGGACAATTTTCATCATCTGAATGTCGTGATTACTCCTTGGACACATGATTTCCTCTCCCCGAAATTGAGTCTACAGTCCTTAGAACCAGCAACATTAGCATGTAGTTTGCATATGCATCACTCAATGATAACTGGAGGGGAAGAAACCCAAATCTTTAATTTAGTACATTTACCACACAGCATCTACCTGCACCTCCATGTTGGAGGTAATTGTGTGAATCTACATATTGAGTGCATGGCTGTTGTCATTCTCTGTTTTGGAGTGCGGTCTCTTGTTATCTGCCATCATTCATGTGGTACAAAGAATATTACCACCTGAATTAGGCCATTATGCTGCCAGTTGGAGGCCTGTAGAGTTACAGGAAATGCTTATCATTACATTGTGGTAATGAAACAACTGCCGCAGGCTAATTAATTCAACACAAGTGTGACACATTAAAACGAAAAGCAACATAAAATCGTAAGTTGTTGGGGCGTATTCATCATGCCATGGAATATTAATTCTCTCTTTAATGTCGCAATTCTGGTTCTGTCTATGTGTTGCTGCTGTTTTGATTTGTTCCCCTTAGCCACTTAACAAGATGGATGAACACAATGTTTCCAAAAGATATACACTAATTTCACCCTTGTAACAAAAAAAAAAAAAAACGGGTCCAGATTTCCGGTCCTCGCCTTGTTTTCAGTGCCATTTGGCCTGTGTCTGCTGCCATGGTCACCACCGCCATTCTTGCTAATGAGAACCAGCACCATATAAACCCCCAAACACACACTCACTTCTGATCGCAGACCAGTAAACGCAGTTGCTGTGGCCATGTCCCACCACTTTACAGATGCTTACATACCCAAAAAGCCCTGTGCTATCATAACCTTTCATGTAAAACCCGGAAAAATGACGAGAAGGGAAATGCATTGTTAATGTAATCCCATATGGCGTGTTGGCGACTGTTTTTAATATACAAGACAGAAGAGGTTGTCAGCCAGATGTAGGCTCTTGGAACTAAAAGTATATTTGGAATATTTTGAAGACAATGTTTATGTATTGTAGTTTGCTAGAAAAAAAAAAAACAGACACAGGACTGTGTCCAAAGTCTATATACAGCTGAACGCCTGAATACAAGCTATACTTTTATTTACTGGTACAGTCAATCTATAAATGTACATTTAAAGTTCCTAATATCCCTTTCTTACAAGTGTAAAAGTATGTCAACCACAAAGCGCTTAACAAAACAGTTAACATAAGTAAAATAATACAGTAGGATAAAGCAGGTGTGAGGGTTCAGGAAATCATCAAGAAGATTCCATTTGAAATATGAAAAACATATTCTTCCTTTTTGCCATATCATCACATAAAGTCAGAGTGCCATGCATGATGGAATTTGGATGCTGAAACCCAATCAACCTCTTGTGGCAGTCAACATCAGAGTTTCCGCTCGATGTATTTTTTCTCCTCTTACTATTGACCCAGCCACCCTTTTGTCACATTTTCTGTTTTGCTTGATTGAATACTATTCACAGTCTTAAGTGCTTAGGTCATGTATGCAAGAATCAGCCTAATTTAGTGGAGATCTCCAAGTCACAAGAAGATTAGAGCCAATACTGACTGGAGGGCATGTGGAAGCGTTGTTGACAGGATTAAGTGGCTGCTGAAGTGATTCCATCTCCTTTTCAAAAAGCAAAAGACAAGTGACAAACAGAATAATTCGGCTCATTTCGTAAAGCCCTTCATCCTCCTTTTGTAGCTATCTCACAAAAGGACAGTGATATAACAATATGATCTGTTTTTGTGAAATTTAGCGGTCAAAAATTAAGTTTGTCCTGTCATTTAAAAACTGTACAGTATGGCCTCAAATGACGAATTTAATCCGTTCCCTGACCACATTCTCAAACGGAAACTTTCGCAAACCGATGTTGTTTCCCATTGAAATGAATGGAAATGTGAATCTGTTCCAGCTGCAAAAAATGTTATTTACTGTTATTTTGATTATTGTGCAGTTAAAAACAAATACTGTACATTTCTGCTGCTCTTATCAAACCTGGCCTTGCCGGACATCTGCGCTCGATTCTATCCCACTGTACAACCGCATCAACCACCCCCGCCAGCTTTCCAAGACATTGAGCAGTGTGGCTACATTAGCATATGAGTGGCTGAGTGTTTAGTTGAGTTTGTCTTCAACAAAAGAAAACTAAATCCCAGGTCATCGCATGCATCCCCTCCACTTAAATGAACAGCTGAAGGGCAAACAGGACCCAAACAAAAACTAACATTTGCCGACTTTCACTGTAGTCACTGTGTGGACCTTTAAAGCTGTATATATTATGAAGATGAATACAACAACAACCTTAAATTATTCAGTGTCCTCAACCCTGCATTAATACTGTATAAGGTCTTCTAATTTATGTCACAACTATGTGAATTAATGTGTATTTGCGTGTTTATGTTCTGCATATCTATTGGTTTAACAGGGAGGGTGTCTGGCTCAGGTTGTGTACCACGGGATGGCGTCACCACCATAACCCCGCAGGTGCTTCGCTGCCCTATGTACCCCGCAGAGCCGTGCTCTACTGCCCCGGCAATGATGAGCGAAAGCTGAGGAAACTGGCCACGCTGGACGTTGACTGCGCCGTCCTGGACTGCGAGGATGGCGTTGCCCTCAACAAAAAGGTATTGATTCCAAATTCCCCTTGTTTCATAGTTCGTTGAAATACACAAGAAAGAAAAAAAAAAACATTTAGCTGATTTCCACAGTGTAGGCAAACTTTTACTCGAGCCTGTTTTAGTCAAAGGTCCCACACATTTGTTGCATCAAAGGTCTAACAGGAGAGTTGCTGTGTTTTACACAAAAATCAGTCTATCCCGTATATCGTCAGCACCAGCATCTGGTGTGCTGTATAAAAAAACATTCAATTCAACAGGGTGGGAGAAGTGAGTGTTATTTAATAAATGTTATGTGCCAGGCTCAACACAGCACAAAATCATCGTCGTGCCTCTGTTACGGTTCTGATACTACCAATGAAGGTGGTCCATTTTTGAAGAGAGAGAAGGTGGGAACAGGCTGACTTTTATAGTCACTGTAAATGCACTACTTGGTCTCAGATGGTGATAACATTTTAGATCTCGTTTGTTTTTAAAAGAGAGAATTTTATGTGTGTTTCAAAAACACAAATGGAAGCAGACTTAAAATGAACATTTTTGTAAATGATAGCGTTAAGACCTGTTCGCACTGTACTTATTAACTTACAATGTGCCATCGATGACTCCATTCATTGTGTATGTGCTACGAGCGGGTGAGCATGGAACGCTGTGTCGTGTCAAGGTACGTGCGACATGCTCTCAAATTGAAAAAATGCTTCATTTGAGAGCGCAGTTGTGGTGAGGTCAGAAAGTGCACCCAATAGCAGATGGGCTGGCTGAGTGATTTCGGAATGCTTACAGCAATAGATCAACCAGCAGGAGAGGCCTCCCTGTTAGTTCTAAGTAACCTCCTATTCAAGCACTTCCTCCGCATCTTCGTTCGCACTGCCATCATGATGTCATCCTTGTTTTGAAAACGGGTATCCTGGGTGACATTTCTGACACACCTCATATTTACGTGAATCTATTTAAAAAATTGAAATCAATCGTTTTTTTGTGTGTTTTGTTTTTTTCAACCAGATTGCTGTCCTAATGACCACTGATATCTTTTTGGCTCCATTTAACATTGGGCAAACTCAATAATACATGAATTGCGACATCAAAATTCATGTGTGTGCATTTTCTATTAAGAGTTGTATTAGAACAGCAACTTGATAAATGTGTTTCTTGTTTGAGAAGAAGATGTACAGTATTAAAGCCTATCAATAAGCAGATGTTTAATAAGAACAAACTTACATGTTATCACTGTCCAGTGAAGACACAGAACCTCAAATGTTACCTTTTTAACATCAAAAAGGTTGTTTGGGGTTTTTTTTTTTTTTGGGGGAGGGCGGGGGGGGGACGTATAAACATTCCTCCAAATGAAAACATACTGTCCCATGTTATTATAAAAATAGATGTTAGAAAATAAATGTATTATGTGTGAAAGGGTGGGGCATCAGACAAGGAAAAGAAGTAATAATTTTTAAGTGTTGATACAGATCTAAATAAAAGTGTACATTTAGGACTCTTATTGTCTTAATTAATTTATCGTTTTTTTTTAAGTTTTACTTTTGCTCATGTTATCTACATGCATTGATCGTAAAATAAAATAATAAAAAATATCAGTCTTAATGCACACATTAGGTCTCCATAATGGTTTTGCTTTTGACCTGAATTCGAATTGTTCGGCCGACAGGTGCTTTCACACTTAATCCCTTAAAGGCATACTACCCAAGTAACATGGTTAAAACAAGCACATTTCTCCCTATTATGGTGGTATAAAGGCAGCAGTGCCCCCCTCCAAGGCCTCCTTTAAAACAAGGTGACCAGTCCCACCGTGCGAGCAGCGGGAAAGCAGCAGATGCAGTAGGTGAAAGGCGTTCTCCTCCCGCCCACGCCACCTCCCCATTGGCCCTCTTGAACTGTCCATAAAATTGTGATTGGAGAATGGGATAAAGAGTGGGGGTACAAAAAAATACAAAAAAGTGAGCTAACAAAGGTCTTTTAAGTCATGATAATAAAGATGAATGATATGGCTGCAGGCCGTTCCTGTACTTAGACAAAGACAATAAGATGACGGTCTGCGTGACTGACAGCTCAGTGCCATGACCCCGTGATGATGTCACAGCTTTGGTCCAAAGGAATGCAGCAATTCAGGCTCAAGGAGGAATTCCCTGGTTCTCACTCTGTAGGTAAATCCATCCAAAAGAGTATCCTTTGAACCAACTGCTTTCATATAAAAGGAACCAGAATATTAGCTTCACCTGGGCAATGACAAGTAATGCTCCATCTACAGTAGATAAAAAACATTTCATCTTTAGTAGAATATTGGCTGTCTATGATGGCAAAGTGCACAATCATTTATTATTGTTTTGTTTGTTTAGTGTAGATCATCACGAGGAAAGCTATTTTTAATTTTTCATCTCAAGCCACTAGTGTGTGTGTGTGTGTGTGTGTGTGTGTGTGTGTGTGTGTGTGTGTGTGTGTGTGTGTGCGTGCGTGCGTGCGTGCGTGCGTGTGTGTGTGTGCATATATATATTTATAAACAAACCTACACAAGATTTTCAAAAGACTGTTTTGGATGATAAAATGAAGCAGTTGGTACAAATGCGAGTGCAAGTTTTCTTTCTTTTCCAAATGACATTGCAAACTATTGGCCTGGCATGCATATCAAAACAATTTTGATGATTTTTCCCCATTATTTTTCTGTATGCAAAACCCAAAGTTTTTGTTTTACTTTTCTCGTAAATGTACCTTTTAATGTATTCTGCCACCTTCACCTTTCAAACCTGCTGAGCGACCACAATAATTGCTTGCCACTTTGACTCCCAAAATGTCCACCCTCCATCTTGGCAGTAGCGCCGGGTGCTTCGGAAGCGGGAATGAGAAATGGACCAAAGAGGTCAAAGCCACGGAGTGCTTGCTAACTGTCAGCATGGACCCGTAGGGGAAAGGTGGGAGGGAAGATAAGGCTGACTGCTCTAATACTCTTACACATATCATCATATCCGTATGATCAGTGGGGTGGAGGAAAAGGGGGAGTTGAAACCCTGGAGCGGAACTGACGGCTACACCTGTCCTCTTTCGTCATCTTTTTCTCACCATCTTTTCTGGCCCCCTCTTGTACTCATCCTGCCGCTGCAGGTTCCTCGAGGTTAAGATGGTTCCCTCCTGGTCTCTTGGTTGCCCTATGGTCCACTTTTCCCCTCCCTGGCGTGTGTCTCTCTGTCTCCTTTCCCCACATGGGTCCCTCCATCCTCCACCCCCTGCACCCCTCAGCCTTCCCTGCCTTAGAGATTCTGTCCTAATCCTTGGAAATTTGGAACTAATGAACTAACTGCTGAGCCACTGCTACGGAGCTTGCTCCCAAACTATACTGTACTTCACACTCGATTTCCTCTCCAGATGGCACGGTGGCTCGGCAGACACGGTGGGGGGGAGGGGTAGGCACCTCACTCACTCTCATGAGCCTGCGGAGGCAGACACACGCACACGCACATGAATATGAATATAGACACATTTAGCAGATATGGACACAAACACTGTTCGACCTGAACTACTTGTATGCAAGGATACTTTTTTTGTATCGTTCTTTTCCAACATTGTGTGGATTCTTCACGGCAGTGAAGACTTAGGAAGCCCACCACCAGCATGGTTACAGAAGAAACAGATTGACCGTTACCCTTTAGATGGTCTGAAACTAAATAAATGAAAGCAAATTTCAATGCCACTACCTTCCTGTGAAATCGTCATAGAAATACCATTAGCTCTTTATCGGTGTTCCCTCAGATATATCAGCAGAGGTGGGGAAAGTAGCCAAAAATCTTACTCAAGTAAGAGTACTGTTACTTTAGAGTAATAGGACTCAAGTAAAAGTAAAAAAGGAGTCTTCCACGTAATTACTTGACGAAGAGTAAATAAGCATTTAGTGAAAAAGCTACTTAAGTACTGTGTAACTTGTGAGAAACATGTAATTTATTTGTTCCCCCATCAGAGTCACAAATCTATTTCTTCTTCAACACTCATTTTTTTCAACTTTTTTTTTGGCCAACTCTACGCCATGGATTGTTCGAGCGAAGTAGCGCAGAATGGCCCAACGTGCGCCACCTTGTGGGATATCGGACATTAGATGACAAAGATCATGCAGTTTTGCAGTCATAATTTGATTTGGGCAATGATTTGGTCAAGTTTCTAACCCCCCGGAGGGAGGAGGTTGTTTTTTTTTTTTTTTATACATACACACACACACACACACACACACACACACACACACACACACACACACACACGGTATATATCGCATTGCGGGAACAGTTCCAACTCTTATTCAGTCTGACCGCAACTGGGGCTCAGCTGACTTTGGGCAAAAAGCGAGGTACACCCTGGGCTTGTTGCCAGTTAGTCACAGCGCACAAAAAATGTTCACACCTACTGTCAGTTTAGAATGAGCAGAGGGAGAACAAACTCTGCGCATGCTCCAATGGACATTCACAGCCAGATCCCAATTGTGACGTAATCGAACGAACCACGATTCCAAAAGAACTAACCACAATTTGAATATGCTGCGCTTTGGCAATGTAAACTTGAAAAGAATGCGTATCAAACTGTACTGCCTGGTGATCACGGGGCTTAACATTGCCACTGATGCATATGAATCATCAAACTGATGGTTTTCCGACCGCTGTTCTTCCTATAAGCCATTGAAGCAGAGAAAGACCTGTGTCGTAGTGCATGCAGCTGAGCGGAGATTAGATGTTCAATGCATGACATTATTACGCGCTATTACCTTTTCGCTGTTGGCGGTGCAGTCACGATATGAGCTATGGCCTATGCATGAACCGGTGTCCGACACCAGAGATTTTCAATTTTACATAAATTATGCAGCCAACTGTCAACTGCCACATGACCTCGGTTGAATGTAGGTGTGTTATTCCAGCGGACACTGAAAGATCCGCTCTGCCTTGAAGTGGTCTCGAATGACTAAACTTTTGACAAGCTCCTGGGAAATATTGATTTAGTCTGTTGGCCCATGAATACTGAATATTCCA